ATAAAATTAGGATTTTTTAATATATGTCATACTTATGAACTATATAATCTAGGAAAATAGAGAGACTGATGAAAATGTCACACATAGAATTAAAATTGGGTGGGTAAAGTGCAGATGTGCATCCAGAGTTTTATGTGATCACCATATATACCAATGAAGCTAAAGGAAAAGGCCTATAGGACAGTTGCGTCAGCTTTATGTTATGGAACAAAATGTTGGGCGGTCAAGAAACAACATTAGGATGAGTATAACTGAAATGAGGATGTTGAGATGAATGATTGGTAAAACAAGAAATGATAGAATTTGAAATGAATACATTCGAAAGATGATGAAAAACAATATTAGGTAGGTTGGCCATGTGTAGCTTAGACCTAGTATAACACCGGTTATGATGTGTGATTTGGTTCAAGTAGAAGTTCTAAAAGCCATAAAGACATGGATAAAAATAATGAAAAAAAGATATAAGGACTTATGATTTTATTGAGGGTATGACCCTTGATAGAGAAGAACGATGGAACAAGATTTGTAAGCCAAATCCAAATAATTGGGATAAGGCTCTGATGATAATGATGATGTCACACTTTTGAACTATGATTCATATACCTTTTTTAAACATGATCTAACGGATTTGATTAATGACCAAATTAGTTTTGACTAGACCTGAGCCCCATCGATTCAGTGGTTGGGCCGATCCTGAGATGTAGTTGATGACGCCATCTTGCGTATCTTTATTGCTTTCAACAGTAACCTATTGTTGTAGTTTCTAAGTACTTGCTTTAATACTCTATGATACTAGAAAGTCGAATATCATAAGAGTGGCCAAAATGAATTCAAAGAAGAGCATGTATATTATGCTCGTTCATGAACATAATTTACTTCTACTCCCTCAATTAGAAGAAATACTTGGGAGGATGTTTTTCAATCTAAAAATTTGGGAACCGCTTAAGAGTTATTAGATTAAAAAAGAGAGTTGAAATTTGACTCTCTAACTCTTAAATCTCACCATATAAAACTTGTATGGTCTCTATTCAATCTCTAAGACACTATTTTCTTCAAGTGCATAGAGGGTACAATTGGGATATTCTTCCATTCAAGTTAATCTATGGTTTGAAGAGGTTAAATCCCAAAATTTGGAATCCTAAAATCAATTTTAAAAATAGACATTCTACTCCCCGTAGGAATATGACATCTTTTGGCTTCAAAGAAACCTATAAAATTCAAGAGCAAGCTTTCTATACTTTCCCTACTACATAAATATACTTCCCCTTATCCAACCATCCATTATGAATGGACAGCAGAGATGGCTCTAATCACAATGTCACGTAAATAATCAAAGTAAGCAACACTTTCAAATAATGCTGAAATATGTTGTTTCAATACTAGAAATCTTTGTGATGGCTTGAAAATTTATTTTCATATGTAATTATGAAATTTTAAAGCTTCAAAAATAGTGTAGATCGAGCAGATCTATGAACACTTGAAAAACTTGAAATTGATAGTCCGAAAATGCATTACAAGATGCACTATTTTCATGACTTGAAATACATTTTTTCTCATGTATATACATCTTGAGGTCAAGATGATCAATTTGAGGAGTTTTGGGCATCGAAACAACTTCTTGTAGTGCATTTTTGAGGAGTGCCTTAATTTAATCGTTCAGGGCTTACCTCTATATAAACCTTTTCCAAAAATAAATGATCTTATGTGTTGACAATCACTTAGAATAAGAGTACTAACTTTATTTTCAAGCAACAAAATGGGCATTAATGCCACTAACCAGTTAAAAAACAAAAAAAGTTACTAGCTTTAGTTTTAAGGCAATTATAAAAAGGGAAAAGTTTATAGAAGGTTGCAACCTTAAAATGTAGAATTACAGATGCACCTTAAAAATCCATCAGAAAATGTTGTTTTTATGTTAAAAACACTCTAATTGATCATCTCGACAATGAGATGTATGAATATGGAAAAAAAAAAAAGATTTTGAGTCTTAGAAATAGTGCATCTAGCAACACATTATATAGACCATCTATTTTTAAGATCTATTTTGCAGATCTACTTGACTTTAACTATGTTTGCAGATTTTGAGAACTTCATAAGAATTTTTTACTCCAATTACATGTTATGATAAAATTTGGAGCTGCACCTTAATTGGATTGTTTAAGGTTGCAACCTTATAGAAACCACACCCTTATAAAAAATATCCCCCAATTTTTCAAGAAATTTAAAACATACCTTCCTTTTTTTAAAAAAATAAAAGTCTACATCCATACCCATTTTTTAACGGTTTATCTTTATTTACCAAAATTACCCTTTACAGCTTGTCATCGTGGTCCAAGGCCCTTTTTTTGAGAGACATCCATCAAACTTTATTAATCACAAAAGAGAGATTACATCATTGGCAATACAAAGAGAACCAAGCGACACACTGCCCTTCGCTAACATATCAGTGATACCATTAGTTTCATGGCAAACATGGGAAAAGGAGATAAAAATAGAAGAAGAAAGATCCAAAATCCGTAGCCAAGGAGAACGATCCAAAATCCGTAGCCAAGGAGACCGAAGTTCCCATAGGACCAATTGCTCCTTTCGACACCAGTGGATAACATTTAAATAATCCCCTTCAACCAAGCAAATAGCTCCCAAATACCTCTCTCTAAAGATCTCCAAACCTTTAAGCACCGCAAGTAATTCTGCCAAATTAGCCGTAGCCATACCAATAGGGCTCGCAAAAGACAATAAAACATTACTTTCAGAACCTCGGAAGACCCCTCCAATCCCAGCAGGCATGGGTTTCCAATAGAACACCTATCAAAATTCAGTTTAATGCATCTTATTGGCGGCTTAACCCAAATTCCTTTAAGCTTACATCGCGCCATACCAAGAGAAAACAAATTAGTAAGATTCATCATTACATCCATTTTTGAAATACCCCAACCTTCCTTAGAAACCGATAGACTTAACCAAATAGACAACTTGACCAAATGAATTACTTTATCCAAAGGCAACACAGTCCCTTCAAAGGTCCTTCTATTCCTTTCCTTACATACTTTCCACAGGATCGATCCTACAACAATTTTCCAAATCGCCCTACCCACTGTAGGCAAAAATAAAGGTGTGAACTGATGGACAATGCCCAGCACATCTTGAGGTAATGGAAGTGACACACCAACCATATTCTGTAACCAACTCCACAACATAGAGACAAAGGGGCAGTGAAGCAGCAAATGGTTAACCGACTCCCCATCTTGCTTACATAAAAAGCAAATATTAGACAGAATTTTACCTCTTAAGAAGGTTATCAATTGTTAAAATCTTATTCTATGATGCCAGCCATACAACAATATGTACCTTGTGCGGGATTGGCCACTTCCAAATTTGAACAATAAGAGGAGATGACCACCTCCATATGTCATGAAAAAATAGGTTATACCACGACTTAATAGAAAATATGCCATCATTTTCTACTTCCCAAACAAAAATATCCTCTGCATCTTGTGCTACATATACTTGCTCTAAAAGCTCCATCATCGCACACCATTGTGACTGTATCCCATCACTAATCCTCCTGTAAATGAGAGGAATACTCCAAGTAATTTGATTTCTTCTTCGCTCAACTATATTACAGACTAAAATATTTTGATTTGAAGTCAACTGAAACATATCACGGAACGCCACCTTTAATGGATAATCTCCTAACCATTTATGATGCCAAAATAAAATTTGTCTACCACTACCAAGATTCCATCTAAAGTAACCTGAGATCATCGGCCTGCAATTATAAATCGCTCTCCACATATACGAACTCTCTCTACCTCGACCACTACTAATCCATACATTATAACTTTCCAACCCATATTTGGCAATCAACACTTGGCACCACAAATGACTTCTGAAATGAGAACTTCTCCACCACCATTTACAGAGTAAGGTAGCATTAAAATATCTCAATCACTGGATCCCCAAACCCCCTTCCCGCTTAGGTGTGCACACTCTATCCCGTCTAAGCAAGTGATATTTGTTGTTTTCTCCATGCGTACCCCACAAAAAGTCCCTCATCAATATCTCGATCTTTTAGCAACCGATGATGGCATATGAATCACCGACATCTGATACACAGGAAGATTGGCTAAAGATGATCGTAAGAGAGTAACCCTACCACCCAGCGATAGGTACTTATATTTCCAAAGGTCAAGTTTCACCTGCACCCTCTCAATAGTCTTATCCCAAACAGTAATAGGAAATTTTGAGTCTGAGATAGGCAAACCCAAACAAGTGATAAGGAAAGTTTCTAATTTGCAGCCCACAACTAAGGCCAAACTTTGCAATGCCGGGCCTCTACAGTTAATCCCCATCAAAGAAGACTTATGCAAATTTACCTTAATTCCCCTGACAACCTCACAAATTTTCAAATATCTTACAATATTATGAAGTTGTGTCTGATCCGCATCACAGAAAATAATTGTATCATCAGCATATTGCAAATGAGATGCAACAATATTAGAGTTTGCAATTTGGAAACCCCTAAAGTTGCCCCTTCATTCAACCCTGGACACCATAAGGCTAAAGGATTATGTATAGATAGTGAATAAGAACGGGGAAAGAGGGTCACCTTGACGAAGCCCTCTAGAGGCATTAAAGAAACCAATTAGGCTACCTTTGAATAGGATCGAGAAATGAGCAGTAGCAAGGCACCCAAAGATCCAACTTTGCCATCTTGGTCAAAACCCATCATCTTTAGAATTTCCAATAACACCCCCCACTCCACCCTATCATATGCCTTTTCTAAATCCAGTTTAAGAAGCAAGCCCACCCTCTTACTCATAACTCTAGAAAGGATACACTATTGAGCTACTAAGATACTATCAGCAAAACCCCTTTAAGGCGTTCAACAAGTAATTTGGCAATAATTTTATAGATGCTTGTAAGAAAACTTATGGGTCTAATGTCAGATAGCCCATTTATTACTGACTTTTTAGGAATTAATGCAAAAAAGGTCGAATTTATAACTGTAAAAAGTTTATCTCTGATAAAAACTCTTTCACTAACTCCAATAAGTCATCCTTCACCAAATTCCAGAATCGATGGAAGAATACTAAAGGAAAACCGTATGATCCAAGGGCTTTGTCACCAGGCAATGCAAAAATTGCAATTTGTAGTTCTTCAATAATAATATCCTTTTCTAAAGCAACTTGTTGACTCAAATCCAATTTCTTGAAGGAAACACTATCAAAATTCGATGTGAGAACCACTTCCTTTGTGAAAGCAGCCTTGAAATGTGTAACAACACCTTCTTCCATTGCCTCCTTATCATCCGAATCAATTTCAGGTATTGAAAGACCCGAAATATCATTTTGTCTTCTTCTTGTAGTAGCAATTGCATTGAAGAATTTTGTATTACGGTCCCCTTCATTAAGCCATTTGTTCCTAGATCTATGCTTCCAATATATTTCCTCAACTCTTCTTGCCTCCTCCAACTCCTTCAGCTTCTCATGACGCTCACAAACCAGTTGGTTCGTCAAGATACCATTTTCCTGAATATTGCGGTCCAGAGTCTCTATTTTTGCCACAATCCTCCATTCCAATAATTTATGCTTGATATTCACTAACTTTTTGTGTATTTGGAAGTCCATTGATCCAATCACCACTGTGTTACACCATATCCTTCTAATAAGTTCCAACACCTCTAGCTTTTCCAACCAACATAACTCAAACCGAAAAGGTTTAAGACCACCCCTACTTTTTCCCATCGAAAGGAGTAAAGGGAGATGGTCAGACGAAAGTCGCACCAAAGATTTGACAAAAACCAAAGGGAAAGCCTCTACCCATTCTGCAGCAACTAAAAATCTGTCCAACTTGGACATAGCAAAGCCCTAACACTATTATTAGACCAGGTGAAATGTGATCTAATAATAAGAGGATCCAAAAGAGCATTATCTTCTATAAATCTATTAAAAAACCTCATCAAAGAATTAATTGGGTGACCTGCCAGGCAATTGTCAGGCGATCTTATAAGATTAAAATCCCTCCCAATTACAATAGGAAAGGAGAAGGACTGAATCACAGAAAACATATCCTCTAAGAAAGCAAGTTTTAAGGAATTAATAGAAGGGTCATACACATTCATAAACCCTCAAGAAAAAACCTTGAGTAGGACCCATAAAACCCAAAAGCATAAAATTATCCTTGACAACCGTCACAAAGTTAGAGAGTACCAAAGGATCTCAAAGAATCCAAACTCCACCAGAATTACCCACAGCATCAAATACCACAAAAAGACATATCCCTTGAGCCCCAAATTTCCCTAGCCAATGACAGAGAAGAGCTAGGCAATTTGGCCTACTGTAACGCTCCACAATAAGAGGTTTGTACTTGGACACTAAAAACAAAACATCTTTCCTTCGCCTGGGATCACCCAAGCCCCTAATATTCCACAATAAAATATTCATTAAAACAACTGAGAAGAGGAAGAAGAACCTAGTCCCAACGGTCCGATCCCATCGCGATCTTCATACATCTCCATGGCCTCCCAATTTTCATCATCAGACGAGGAAGAGGAAGACAAGCCAATATCCACCAATTCTGGTTCGCGATATTTAATGGCAACAACATTCAAATAGCCTCCTTTAAGAACACCCCTAGCCTCCAATTTAGCCAATGACCGAGGGTTCCATCCGTCTTACAGATAAGGTTCGCAACAACCTCCATTCGAGACTGGGTCTCTTGACCATCATAATCCTTCTTTTTCATCTCCTTGGACTTTTTGAGCTTGTGAATCTCAGACATCACTGTCGAAAGCGGCATCGATTTCATACCCATGTCAAACAACAATTGTTGAACCGCTGGTGAGTCATCAAAATGATCAATGGTCGGAAGGGGCATAACCACCGAAGGGTTAGGTGTAGCATCCACCACTTGTATTAGTTCATGAGTTAAGACCAGAAACAAACTTGTTTCAAGAACAACATCGGGAGTGTTGGGTGCAGCATCCACAACATGTACTGATTCGTGAGCCATTACCAAAGGCAAACTCGAGCCAACCGCCTCCATCAGTGGTTCATGAACCAACAATAAAGCTTGGTTCGCAGAAACGATATCCACCTGTTGTTCCTCCAAAGAATCCATGGCTGGAAAAGAATCCTCCAAAAGCATCCTCGGCTTATCTGAATCAACCGCCACAATTGCAAGGGGATCAAGGAGCAAAGGATCAAACCGGCTACGACTAGCTTTCTTGGCCGTTGCCGATCGATAAGGTAATGGATACATCTTGCGAAGGAGAATAGTGAACACCAAGGCGAAGCACCACACTTGGCCTAACCCTTTCCAATGCCCCAGAAAGAACAGAATAATAGCAGCTAGAGAAGAGAGGAACGACTTACAAGCAGGAGTCTTTTCAGGGAGAGAGATAAACTCTCTATCCAATGTAGCACAAGAGTAAGCCGCCACATATACTATCAAACTGGGCTCAAATGCACACTGATCACAATCCCGACCCTCCGTACCGTATGCCTCCGAACTCATACTGCGTGCGTTGCCCCCACCCACCGCCAAAGCGATCCTATTTGCTTCAAAAACACTTGATGGACCCTCAAGAGGCAGGAGGCTACCACACTATGCCAAAAGGCCATAATCTAAGAACCATTCTTTAGGCACTTCGTTCGTCATGCACTTTCCACTCTTTAAAGCTCTAATATGTAAATATAGGTTGGGAATTTCCAAGGTTCGGGGGACTATCCAAAATATCAGACTTCACTTTCCGGGGGTAACGAATAAGGTAAGAAAGTCCCTATGTAACCTCTGGAAACCTAACCACAGGTTTCCAAATTTTTGAAATTCTGGGAGTTACAAAGTTTTGAAAAATTGAACCTCCTACGATCATGCCGAAAACCAATATGGTGGTTGACCCTTTCCAAATTCCTACTAGCCGGAACCGGAAGATAAGAACTTTTCGGCTGGCAAGAAGCCTTGTCATGGACCTCCTCCTGCTGCACCATCTATGGATTTGCATTCTTAGCCACAGACTCACACAATACTTTGATGATGAAGGAATCTTCACAAATATTGAGGCAAAGTTGGTCACGTAAAACCATGCTCATGGTCTTGGATATTTTAACCCAAACCTCAAAACACACTGGATTTAAAAAGGAATCCCAGTCCAGGTCTAGATAGCAACCTAGAGGACTCGCAATCCTTTTAATAATCTCTAAGCTCCATGCAAACAAAGGAATTCCACAAAGACTTACCCACATAATCTCCTTTTGAATAAAGAAGCTATGATCCCTAGGCTTCCAGACATCCAATGATAGGACGCTACCACGGATACGACAGAAACGATGTGTGAGCACTCTCTGTACTTCATCCTTAGCTCTCAGTTTGAACACCACTTTATTCATGCCAATGACCTTAACATTAGGAGAATATGAAATATTCCATCCCCTCTTAGCCTAATCAAATAAACCAAAAAAATCAGAAATAAGAGGAGAAAAGGAACCTGTCACAAACAACTCCGGCTTGATGTTGAGCTGCTCCCACTCAGACTTCTCCAACCTAACCAAAGGAAGAGGGGACCCTCCATTGATCTGCAAAACACTTGATCCTACCACCATCTCATTCTTCTCTCCAAAAGGGCCACAGTCCCAAAACAACCATCACTGTTCTAATAGGACCATGATACAATCATAATAGAACCATAATGGACCTAAAAGAACCTTGATGGTTCATTCAGCCCTTCGTAACCGCAATTGGGTGACCATTTAGAACCGTGATGGTTATAACGATTCTATTAGGACCGTGATGATCATCACGGTGCTATGAGACTCGTGAAGGTCATTTTAGGGCCACAAGCGTTAAGGTGAATGGCGTGAAAGAGCCTTGGCCCCATCACAGACCTAATGACAATTTCACGGTCCTAACATGCATTTCAAAAAAAAAATATAAACCGTAAAAAAAAGGGTTATGGATGTAGATTTTCAAAATTTTGATTATATTTTAGTTATTTTAAAAAAATAGGAGATATTTTTTATACTTACCCTAATTTTAAGTACTGAATGTGCCGTTAATGGCATTAACCATTGCATTTGAAGTCATGTGCCCCTATGTAACATCACTCTAACTCATGTGTAGCAGACAAGAAGGGGAAAGTGAATATAGTGTAAGGTGGTCCGTGGCTTTTTTATTCCCATGAAAAATAGCGATTACTGGCATCTTCACACCTCCATGAAAAAGGGAAAAGTTCAAGACCAAATGAAAATATGTCCAGTTGGTGGGTCACTTTCTTCTGAACAAGGCTTCTATGCGGCCAGACCCGCATATACCCGACACTGTTCAACTATGCCAGACAGTGGAGATTGCACAGTGCAATCTACACTATCTGACTAAGTGGGATATATGTTTCGTAAGGGCAAGCGGGTTTCCCCGCATGAAACAATTTACCTGTACATAAATGGTTGTTTACTGATGAATATTTATGACACTTAATGGTCAAGTGACATGTTGGTTCAAAACTAAATGTCAATTCTCAACCCAAATTCGGGATGACAATTCTCTCTCTATAAGTGGGTCTTGGTGCAACCATATACCCCCTTTTACTGTCTCTATAAATAAAGGCAAATCTGGTGCTTTAAGATTTTGTTCTTAAGCATTTGAACATGACGGACTTTCTCTTTTAAGTGTATCTTGGTGATTTTGTCAGTACAACCTACATGGACACTGATTTTTATAAGCAAAAGGCAAATATTTACTTGAGATATCGCGCCGAAAAATAAAGCCATCTTCCTTCATTTGATTTTGGCTCTACAAATAAAGTAACTTGTCACTGCCCCACGCCTAGGGGTGGCAATGGACCCGGACCTAGACTTGACTTGTGTTTAGGTTGGGTCCAAGAATTGCACCCAACAGGTCGGGTCCGGGTCCAAATATTGGACTCGAATAGTATTCGGGTCTGGGTCCATGTGGATCCAACCCGGATAGTGTTATTGTATAAATAATATTTACTATATATATATATATATATATATATATATATTATATGATATTTTAATAATATACATTTAATATTAGGAAAAGTTTGTATCAAGTTGCAACCTTAAAATGTAGAATTACAGATGCACCTCAAAAAACTATTGTAGAATGCCTGTTTCAATGTTGAAAAGGTCTCTAATTGATCATCTCGACATCGACATGTATGAATATGACAAAAAACTAAAAAGATTATGAGTCCTAGAAATAGTACATTTTACATCACATTATCTAGGCCATCTATTTTTCAGATTTTTATATATTTATAGATCTACTTGATTTTTACCATTTTTTGAATTTTTTAATTTTATAATTAGATATCAAAATAGATTTTCAAATAATCCTAAAAATGTTTTACACCAAACTTATATGTTATAATAAAATTTAGAGGTACGCCTTAATTGGATTGTTTAAGGTTGCAACCTTATAGAAACCGCACTCTTTAATATTTAAATAAATATAACTACAAATATATATTTAACATAACATTTAAATTTATTTATTTATTTATTTGGATCGGATTTGGGTCCAATCGGACCCAACCCGACCTGTTGCCACCCCTAGACTGGCCATGCCATTATTTCCAACATAAATTTATGTGGATACTCCTATGATATCAACAAAGCACTAAAGGATTGCCTAACTACTGTAAAACTTGCCTCAAAAGATACTTTACAAAGTAGCTTTTGGACCGTCCTTAATCTTTAAATAAACACCCACAGATCTCAAAAGATAACAAAGATAAAGATCAACACGATAGAATCTTCCTTTCTTGAGATTGATGGAATTGCCTTTAAATGCAAAATAATGAGAATCCAACTAGGGCACATATACTATACTCATGTGG